AGCTTGAACGAACGAAGTGCCTAACTTATACATTAAACAAGGTAACTAGAAAAGAATTTATTTGTTCAATTCTCTGTAGCTTCGGTGGAAAGCTTGCAAACCAAGTTTTAGAAATTGCCCACTTAGTTCAAGAATTTTCCTGAGGCTATTTCTCTACTTCATGACCCTTCAAACAAAAAGGTTATTTTGTAGATTGGGATGGACTTTGACCTGTCCCATTTACCCATTACTCTCCTTAGTACATGGCTCTGTTAAAGAACTAAAGAAACCCCAAGAAAAAAAGAAAGAAAGAAAAATATTGTTATGAAATCATTCTTCTCCCACTGCCTGCCTTTGTTAAATTTTAAAAGAGTACCTCCAAAATAGGAAGTTTTACTAGGTAGATCTCTTATGTTTATTTATTTATGTTATGTAATGGTTGACTACTTCACACCGCCTCAAATTTGGGTTATTTCCTGAAGCTTAGAACAAATGTTATACGGTCCAATTTCCTTTCTTCACAACATTGTTGTCTTTAGTCATATATATTTTCTTAATTAAATTGGAAGGAAAGCTCGGTTTGATTAAGTCTAAGAGCACACACGCACCGCCTCATTATATTTTTGTTTCCCGTAGCTTGAAAACAAAGCAGAAGTAAAAGAATATAAAGGATAAGCAAGCTTAGGTCGGTTCATAGGAATATTAAGTCGATTTAGATTCAAAGTCTTTCTTTTAATACAAAAAATAACAAGGAAGCTTCTTGGTGGGAAAGCCCTTTCAACTCCTACTTCTAGCATTCCCCTCCACCATGACCCATTTCTATCAAGCTATACGCTCATAGTAAACAAAAGGAAAGAAAGGAAAAAGGGAAGAGAGATGGAGTGAAGGCGAAGTAGGGAAAGATTAAGACTCCGATTTCGGCCGTCGCCATAAGCTAGTGTTTCGCAATTCGGTAAATGTCACTAACTTCATAAAATCCATGTATCATAGATGAATTAATAATTTTGTTAATAGCAATAAGTGGAAAAAGGGTTCAGGATTATGAAGCCACTAATATGCATGTATAATTATATAACAACATGGTTTAGGATCTTTTATGATTCAGTTTGAATCCACGAAGATGGAACTCAATTTGCTTTGTCAAGTCTTCGCTAATATTTAAACTTATAACATAAGAATCCTCTTCATGCGGTAGTGTAATATAAATCCGTATAAATTAAATGGTCGCGGAGAGGCTAAGCTTGTTAACTCGTTCAAATCTAGAATTAGCTAGGGATCAAGTCATCGACCCTCTTGTTTTGAGTAATTATGTCTGAGGGTACCTCAAAAGGAAATTATTGGAGAAGTCCTTATTAAGTTTAAATCGTGGTTTTAATTAAGTAACACAATTTAGCACTAGTTCACTACCGTAGGGTGTTAGAAGAAAATTTATCAGAGAGTTAAATTGGTCTTGAATATTTTGCGAGTCCCATCTAGAATAGTGTCTAGTTGAGTTGTGGTTTTAATACATTCGTTTTTGTATCTTAAGGACTGCACAAAAGAAACCTCAGCAGATATAGCTCTCCACTATAAACTGTTTGACAGAACGAAGCATGGGAACGAGTTGCAAGAGGTGAGTAATTCTCACTCTTTTAAAAGTGTTTTGAAAACTGGGAGTATGAGAATATATATTTACAAGTCACTGCACCCGTGAGCATTTTTAAATGTTATTGTAACATTAAATGTATATCGTTAAATGACTTGATGGTATACTTGATTGTCTCAGGGTAAGTGTTTGATTGTTATAAGTGTTACTAGTTTGGACCGTATGTGTTAATGTGGTTGAATGCTACTGACTAGTTATATGATTTTCTACAAGTGTTAGAATGTTAAACATGTTGTACTAAAGTGAAATGTTTTAACGGAAATGTTACCGATGGTGACATCACCTCGGCAGAGTTTGCAATGTTATCGTTAAATGTATTGTACCGGCAGATGGTGTACTTCATCGTCCCGGAAAAGTGTATGTTTTGTGCATGCAATCGTTGATGTGTACACACGCTTGGGTGATCCCGGTCGCCCTAGAGCACGGGCCCAAGCACTGGGCGAGCAAGGAACGTGGGCCGGCATCGGGCTTGGTCACCAGTCTTTGCTGTCAGTGACCGTATTGTAGAGGAAGCTCGACGGAGTGACCCCGATCGCGACATGAGTAAGGTGAAGATTGAATTGTGAATTGTAATTGTTAGTCGATGAGGTAGCTCCTTCCGACGAAGTATTGATTGATCGTTGAAATCTAGTTCGGAATAACGTCCTTGTGTCACATCGACCCTCGACGTGTCTTGCTAGATTTCTCCGTATCCACCCCATTGTTAATTGATTTATGTGAAATAATTGATTATTAAATGATTATGCGTAAAGTTTGTTTTATTCTTAAAGATTACTTTGAATGAAAATAGTTTTACTAAAAATGTCGTAGTAGAATAGTGAGAATCTCACTGAGCTCGGCGCTCACCCCCTTTTTTTATATTGTATCCCCTTATCCCACTCCCATGTTTTGATCGAATCGATGCAGATGAGTGCAAGTGAAGCAAGACTGTGTTCAAGAGATGCTATTATTTGATATGTTATAATATGAGATGAGTTAGGTTTTAGTGAAATGTTAAGTCAAATATGGCACTGGCGAGAGCCTGGCGGAGTGCTCAACTCGTAACTAAACATGATGTATAGTAACAGGTAGGTGAGTTGGGTCGTCACATAGACTCTTTGAGAGCATTATGCTAAGTACATGCAGAAAGTCATCAACACCTGTTTTTTTATTGTGCTGTGATAACTGAGTTATTTTAAAGATCAAAACCTAGCTGGGAATTGGACATATTGCAACTGACTGGGGCAAAAGGAGAAGAAAGTGAGGTTTGTATGGAAAAAACTAGACTTAAATGCAAAATCTGGTGTTCCGCTGTAGTAGCTCTTATCTATCAAGTATGGAAAGAGAGGAATGAGAAACTGTTTAGAGCAAAGAGTAGAAATGCTGATGACATTGTGCAGCAGATCAAGAAAGAGTTGTACTTGAGATTAAAAGGAAAAAAACTACACACTACAAGAAAAATTATTTTCCGTGACACCCTTGTTGTAACATTTTAACAAGGATGTCTCAATAAAGTTTTATTATGACATTATGCTTGTTGAATGTCTAATTCTATAATTATATTACATGGTTGTGCCTTTAAAAATATCAATTATGACATTTGATAAAAGTATTACTTCATTTCAAATAGTGTCTTTATACTCCCTATTTAGGACATTTTTATTTGTAGTATTTAAATTAATGAGACATTATTTGGTGCAGTTCAAATATTATCTGTCCAGACATTAGTATGCGTAAACACATTTGCGATACTATTAACACTTTAGTAAGTGTAATTTTAGTTTTTCTCACTATTAAGACATCACAGTGTGTAGTTTATTCTTAAAACGTTATTAAGACATTATAAAATGTAGTTTAAAAAAAACAACTGACCAATTTTAATAAAAATGAAAAACCGGGAAAAAAACCAAAATTAGCCCATACTTCCCATTTTTTGCCCTCTATATTTGGCGGCCATAGTTGACATACTTCCATTGTTTAACAGTCAGAATCAAGAAAATTTGGATCTGAACCCAAACAAAAAATATCCATATTTTGGGCATCGAATTGTTATTGTTTTTTGCTTTTTTTTTTTAAAAAGCCAACAGAAAGATTAGATTCTGACTTCGTAGAGCCGGTGCTGCTCTTGCCTGCGCGTAGGGCCGTCCCCCACTCCCGCCCCGGGGTGCTAAGGATCGAATTGTTGATTTGTGCTGCTTGCTTCGTCAATCTCTTACGAAGCGTATTTCCCAACAAATTGACGGTTATTCTCTCAGCAACGGTCACAATGAAGTTTTCAAGTTTTTATTTTTTTATTTTTTTATTTTTCCTTTCTGGATTTTCAAGAAATCGTGGAGACTGTAGTATACAATAGCTGAAACTTTGATTATTCAAAATCTGTTTCTTGAGTAATGTTATTTAATATTGGTGTCAAAATGAGATTTTGGATCTAAATACGAACAGTTTGTATATATGTAAAGCATTTACATTTCCAAAAAAAAAAAAAAAAAACTTGAGTCATGGGTCTAATATTTTTCTTTATCTTTTTCTTTTTTTGAAATGGAACAAAAAAGTTACAAACATTATTCCCCATGTCCCAAAACTCAATAGAACATGAGTGCAAATTTAAAAACTCAATTGGACTATTTTTGTGAGACATGTGTGGTATTTTTTTAATCTAAGTAGTTGATGTGATAAATTATTTTATAAATTTGGATATTATGAATTTTAGAAAAAAAAATTTCATGATTTAGCAAGGCTGAATCGTGAAATTGGTCCTATACATGTAGTTAAATAAACATTTTTGTATGTACAACAAGTCAACAACATTAATTTGAAATTGCCCGGCTCATTTTATTTTGTAACTTTTCTTTTCTACTACTCTCTCCATTTCAAAATATATAAGTCTCTTTTAGACTTGCACATAAACTAAAGAGACAATCATCTAATAATTAATTTATGTGTTAAATATCTTTTTTATCCCTCATTAATTACATTGAAACTATAAACAAGACTAAATAAAAATATATTAGTATCATTTATTGAGGGTAAAGTTGGAAAATAGTCATTAATTTGCCTAGAATTTGTAAAACGACATACATTTTGAAAAATCTCTCCAAACTTAAAACGACTTACATTTTAAAATGGAGGAAGTACTATTTAAACGTCAATTTGACCAAATTTCGGACCAAGTTAATGAGAGTATTTTTAATATGGCTCTTTTTTAAAAAAAATGTGATGAAAATAAGAATAAGATATCAATAAAAGCAGGATGAAAATAATACAACGTTAAATAATTAAATTAATATATACAATTTAATACTCCATTTTCTTTTTATCCCTGGGCAACGTTGACCTCTATTATTCTCAAATATGGATTGACTTTTTGTTTAAGCAATTTAGGTCCTAATTCCTACCCTTTTTTCTCTTTATCACGCCGGTTCACCATCACATTTTCCATTAAATCCCCTCAATCTTAATTTTGAGCAAATTAATGAAATCATATCTCTTGTTTAACCTAAATTCATCGTTCGTTTAGACCAATTCTTGTTCGAATTGGGTTCCTACTGATATTTACATGAGTTATTGGGGATTGTTCTTTCTTCTTGCATCAATTTGCAATCCTTAAACCTTTTCCACGCCTTTGTTCATCACTTCCAGAAAAAAAAAAACCCATTTCAATAACTGCTGACCAATCTAGAAATTGAATTCACTGGCCGAAACCCGAAAATCATCCAAGAAAAAATGCGAGCATCGCTACGCTTAGTGTTCTCCATAAACCAATCAACCAAATGTCCCCACTTTCGTAAGAACCCAAATGGTTTATCATCTTTGCAGCCCTTTTCTTCGAGCTCCACAAGCAATGACGGCAACAATCCAAATGATTGGGGAAGCAGTTTCGGCGGTGGCGGCGGCGGCGGAGGAGATGATAACTTAGGATGGGACACCCCTGATTCCTCGTGGTCCACTGGGCTAACGAAAGAGCACTTTGACGGCGAGGTTGTTGGCCAGCAGGTCACGCCAGGGCAGGCTCCGAATGCAACCCGGCCGGAATATGGTGTTGGAGGACGTGGCGGCAGTGTCCATATGGGTCGTGCAAGGTGGACTGATGAGGAAGCAATGAAGATTAAGGAGTTGGAGGCTGCTAATAGGAAAGGGAAAGTCTTTGTGGACAGTTGGGATGATAGGATGAGCGAAATGAGTGTGCTGATGAAACAAGTGAGGGAACCTGGGGCGCGCGGATCATACTTAAAGGATTCGGAGAAAGCCGAGATGTATAAGAAGCATAAGGAGGATCCTGAGGTGTATACTGTGGAGAAATTGGCAAAAGAGTACAGGATAATGAGGCAGAGAGTACATGCTATTCTATGGTTGAAGGAATTAGAAGAAGAGGAAGAGAAGAAGTTGGGCCGTAAGTTAGATGATTCAGTGGAGCTATTGCTTGACACTTTCCCTGAGTAAGTATTTCATACTGGTTTCATTGATTATGTGATAGTTAATTGGAGCTGCTCAATTGAATATTCTGGCTCTTGGGGTTACTTTCATTTCTACTCTGTTATGGGTTAAACATAGTTATTTTAGGGTGGCCTTGTACGTGTTATCTTGTATTGTTGAACTTTGGGATTAGGTGATAGTGGGTACTGCTGGTGGAAATTTCTTTTGGTTTGGTTTGAATCATGTGGAGTGGAATTTCCTGCTTCTCCCAAACCATATTCTCATTGATTAGGGTTTGTTAGGACATTTTGTTGTTGTTAGCTATCTTTATGAATAGGATATTATTTTTTTGGTTAATGTGTTATTGCCATTGAAATTTCATCTGGCCTGCTGCAAAGGTGAAGCATTGTTGGGATGATGGATGATCGGTTTTGGTTGAAAATTTTCAGTTTGTTCATTGTATTACTGTAGTTTTATAATCTTTGTAAGGGCACTTAACAAAACAAAACCAGCTTTTTTCTGGCATACTAAGTCAGGGGTGCAGTTACTGGAACAGCCTCTTAAAGAGAGATAAGGTGAGGCTGAAGGGGTTTAGCTATAATGGGTCATTTGGACATGCATAATCTGCTATAAGTTTTGTTAAATCTTAATTCTATCATTGCTTCTTATGTTTGCATCACTGCTATTGTTTACATAATCTTTTCTTACCTTTTCCTTTTAAAGTTTCCCGTAGTAGGATTCATGTCTCAACTATCAATGCTGTTATTAGTTAGTATTTGCTTTCTTCTCGGAAGGCATCAAGTAATCAGGCCCTACTCTGTTAGTCAGTGAAAGATGTGAATATCAAAATGCATTTATCATGGATAGTACACCTGATGTCATTATGCTCCCAGGGATGTAATTTAGCTTCTTGTTAATTTATGACCCAAGTTGCTTGCATACGGCCACATCTGGAATTAATGCTTCTGATTTCTCTTGTGAATCCCAGTCATTGAATTATAGCTTTTGTCATGTTTCTGTGCAGATAAAGATGTTGTTGCACTTTAGTTTGTACTTTCCAGTAATTGATGAAGTGGTGGATCTTGTCATATGCTAATAGCTAGAATCTGTGTAACTACACTTCTATGGAGTCAATTTTGTCGTCTTCTTTTTTTTGGTAATATAGAGCTATGTGTGTTTTTGACGTACTTTGGATTTGAAAAGACGTTATTTGCATATTGACCCTGACAACAGTGAGGATGTTCCTTGTCATACTCATTGGAGAAGTTTCAAGTTAATTTACTGACTTCTATTTGCTGTAACGGATTTGCCCAAACACTTCTGTCTAAATGGTCAATACTTAGATTATTAAGTTGCAAGTCTGGTGTGTTATGGAAACATATAGTCCTTTATACTTGTATTGGCATGTTCCACGTTTTTCATTCTGCTAGTATGAGCACCTACATTCCTGATTTACTGTAGTCAGATTGTTGCATAAAAATTTTATTTAAGTTCAATATTCATTGGCGAGATATATTGATACATATTGTTTCTTTTCTAGTACTCTGTCTAGTTTAATGTGTGAGCTGCAAGGCATGGGAAATTGTTAATTATCCATTTCTAAAGTCACTCATGTTCTATCTGCACGTTGCAGATTCTTTAATTCTCACGACAGGGAGTTCCATGTTGCATCCCTTCCTTACAAACCGGACTTCAAAGTTATGCCTGAAGGCTGGGATGGCACAACTAGGGACCCCGATGAAGTGCATTATGAGATATCAATGAAGGAAGATGAGATGTTATATCAAGAGTTTGTCCAAAGAATGAACTTTAACAAGATGAAGGTAAGATTCTTATCTTTATCTCAATGATGAGAATTTAAAATGGTTGCCTGCAAAGTTTGTTTTCATATGTCTAGCTTTGAATTATTTAAAAGCATATGCATCTTAGCAGTCAATGTGCCATCAACATTATGAAAGCCGTAGGTTGTTAATAATGAATTTTCTGGAGGGCTGAAAGGCCTGTTTTTGACAGCATTTTGTTTTAGATTTAGTTATGGCTATAGATTCAGTTTAGTTTGGAAAATATGAAAAGTTGTACTCCCTCCATTCCAATACAATAGGCCCATTTAGACAAACACGGAGATTAAGAAAAATGAGTAACATAGTTTAAATAGTTTTTGAGTAATTCACCTAATATCTCCCTATTAATGACTAGTGGTTGCTAGTTAATATGGTGAGATTGGGAGTTGGATTCAATTAAATGTTCTAAATTTCAGTGATAGTAGTGGGGGTATATTAGAGAATTCATAGATAAAATCAATGCTAATGTCTGAAATAGGACTAAATTTTGGTACATCCTAAAAGGGGAAATGAGCCTATTGAATTGGAATGGAGGGAGTATCAAGAAAGTTGCTGGCAAATGTACTGGGAATATGCAAATATTAGTTTGAACTTGGATTTAAGTGGAAATAAAAAACTATATTTGGAGACTTGGAGTCAAGTTTCTGGCCACAAGCCTAACTGTACTGCTTTTCCCCTCTTTTCTATATTATTGTTGGTTTGAAATAGTAACTTTATTATTCAGCATGTTGAATCTGTTGTTCGTAGGGGGTAGTGTGATGTTATTTTTAATCAGCGGAAAAAATGAAAGATTTAAATGAAGGTGATAAACACTAGTTGGTGATCAGCAAGCTGGTGATTTAATATATTAACAAAAGTGACTTTTGTCTGCCATCATGACACCAATGTTCCAAATATCAGGCCGGACAACTGGGAATTCCTGTTTTTATGAACCCCATTTTTTCAACTTAGTAGTTTCTGTTCTGAAAATGAAGTTTTTGTACTACTAATCCTATCTTAATAGTTAGTGAAATAACATTATTATGTTGGTGAGTATTGTTCTTCAATGGGTGATAGCAGTAAGACAACATCAATCATGTGGTCTTTTCTGGTGATAGAACTGTTACAGGGTAACATGAGCAAAAGGGTATTACATGTATTTGGTGGATATCCTACTTATCAAAATTTCATTTACGGAAACTACATTGTGAAAGATGATAATTAATCATTGATATTTGACAGGCATTTACTCTCGCTGATTTAACCTTTGCTTTAGCCACTTGTCTTATTGATTCTGAGTCCTTAAAGTTCCTCATTTTAGTTTCCATTTCCTGCAGATTCTAATTAATCATGTTATCATCTTTGTAGATTGTTTTTTTTTTTTCTGAAGCAAAATAGATTGAGCTTATCATGTTTGATTTTTGAGCAAAAAAATCTTGTAGCGCTTACCAAGTTTTAGAGCAAGCAAAAGAAACTTTTCCAGAGGCTGAATTTTACAATGTAGTGAAAGAAAAAGAACCTTATATGTTGATTTTGTTGACTTTTTCACCCCTGTTTAAGAGATTTGAGATTTGAATAGTTATCTTTTTGGGTTTTCCCTACAATAGCAAAGTTAAGAATGTTATAGTTATTCTGCGTGATTTATAATTTTTAAATCTTGCAGATGAATAAGGAGGTGAAATGTCACAAATATAGCCGTAGGCGCCCATCTGAGGGTTGGAACATGACAGTTGAGAAATTAGGAGCCCGAGGAAAGCGTGGAGATGGTGGTGGCTGGAAATTTGTAAGCAAGCCAGATGGTTCCACTCGACCCCTGAATGAGTATGAAAAGATGTTTGTTAAGAGAGAGACTCCTCGCCGACGCCGAAAAATTCTTCCTTGACATGAATGAATGAGTATGAAAGATGTTTGTTAAGAGAGAGACTCCTCGCCGACGCTGAAAAATTCTTCCTTGACATGAATCAATGCCATGATGTTTCTTTCTGTATCAATTTTGTGGGGTTGAGCCATCATCAAGTTTCTCGTAGTTCTTTCCTTTTTCTTTTTTTTTTTTTGTTTTTTTTTTCTTGAGATTTTGTACCGTCAGGTGGATATGTCTATGCTTATCGGTCACCTCACCAGTGTTGATTGAAGACTGTTCACATATCCTTCTATAACTGACGAATGTTTAACCACATAAGGGTACTGATAATCAGTCAGAGATAGAGTCCCTTCTGTGGATCTCATTCATCGTTTAAGGGTCTAAATGACCAAAATGTGGGCAACATAATCTTCAAGGCATAGTAAAATGACTTGTGTTTCATCGGAAATATTTACAAATGCATCAAAAATATGCAAGATTTCCTGCTTTGGCGAGCCTTTGTCGCATTTCTTGATGTAGTGTTGAAATCATTTAGGGTATCAATAGGATGATGTCAGAAATAGATGGTATAAATTGTAGACTTGTAGTCTTATTTGTTCAGTTATTGACTCAACCTTTGATAATGTGGGAACGAGGAACTAAACACTTCGGGATTGTAACTTTTATCAAAACTTGTAACAGTTAAGCAATTACACGAGGGTAGAAGTCTTCTTACCAAAGTAATTGCTGAAGTTCAAGCGATAACAGATTGTTATCTTCTTACCAAAGTCTTAGATGTCCAATCTACACATTTTGAGCTCACACTAATAGAATGCCTGATACTATTGTTGTATAGGTTCTTTTTTTAAAAAAATTAAAAAATCCGTTGACCTCCAATGCAAATGTTCTATTCCATTTGAGCAAGAATATCTACAACGAAAATCACCTCTTTGTTAATATATTTCAACTTCACAAATCATTCTTTTAATGTAAATTTCTAACCGACCAATAATTCTCACTTAGGTATTGATCTTTTTTAATTAATCGAATACCATATAAGCACAACTCAATTATCTGCCTCAATGAAAAATTTCCTGAAGCAATTCTCGCAAATCAATCATAGTGGAGCAAACATCAATGTTCATGAGAAACAAAGCTTGCCAAATGCCAAATATTAGTAGGTTTGAAATTATTAATTGTTCAGGGGATCATAGTTAGGTGTATTATAGAGTTTTCTTTTTTGTTGTTGCTGTTTACATCCTACATTCAACCATCTATTACATTATAATGATCTCTATTACATCAAAATGATCCAGTCAGATCATGTATTATTACACACTCCTAAACCATGGATCTATTACACCCTTCTCTTTGGCACTAAACTTTTTACAAAAAAAAATTAACTCTTACTCTAATCTTTTCTTTGATGAGTTGCAGTATTTGATCTTCTGTTCTACCCTTTGCTTGGAAAATTCTCCAGTTGCGCTCTCCCCATACGTGGTAGATAGCAGCCATCAAACTGGCTAACAAAATGCTGTTTTTCAGTTTGGCCTTCCTCCAAATAGATTTTAGTTCCACTTTTCACAATTCATTCTGCCGTGTCAACACTCTCACCCCCAGCCACCTTTTAATTTTTTTTAGCACATTACTGGAATAACAACATTAAAAAATAGATGCTTCACACTCTCCATCTAACTATTACAAAAACCTGACAATGCAACAATATTTTCTTTGTCTGGAGCCTCTATTTCAACATTAACCATGCAATGAAAGAGTGCTTTGGCAGGTTCATCTTGGACCATATCCACTTTGCTTCAATCAAGAGATTCTTCCCTTCAAATCAACCACATATACCCCTCAGTGATTTTGTATTTTCTAGACAAAGTGTGTTTCCATTTGAAACCATCAAACTCATTTTTTATTTTGTCCCGGATCTAAGTAGTTGTTTCCAGTGCTTACTACAGTCTTGCTTAGGCTCAACAGTCCATATGTCTGCATTTTTTGAGTACATCTAATGGGTCCAATTGACCCACATATTATCTATCTTCACGGCCATCCACCATAGTTGCTTAACCATCGCATCTTCATTCTAAACCCTAGTATGTTTGATACCAAGACCATCCTCAGTTTTTCGATGACAGATAGTATCCCAGCCTACCAATGCTACATACTTTCCAGAATCCTTTACCCTCCCCTCTTCCCCCTCCCCAAAGAAATTCTCGACAGTATCGATTAACTCTTTCAGAAATACTCTTAGGCAGAATAAACACAGTAGCCCAGTATAAATGCATATGTAACAAGACAGAATTTATCAATTGTAGTCGAGCAACATATGATAAATGCCGAATACTCCAATACTTTAGTCTAGCAAGTATTCGATCCACTAACCTTTGATAGTCCTGTTGGTTCCATTTCCTAGGTGACATCGGCAAACCTAGGTATTTCATTGGGAATACTCGTTCCTTGAACCCTGTTATTGCTCCTATTTTAAGTTTTACGACTTCCGGGACACTCCCAAAGAATATATCAGATTTATCCAAGTTAGCTTGTAATCAAAAAGTTGCCGAAATATCTTTAAAGCAGTTCATAATAGCTCTTACTGTATACTCATCGAGTTTATAGAATACTAGCAGGTCATCAGCAAAGAACATTTATTCATCTTCAACTTTCTACATTCTAGGTGAAACCTGAATTTTGGGTATTCCGTTATCTTGTTTTGTTGCCTCGTAAAATATGCCATAAATATTACAAATAACAATGGAGACGTAGAGTCTCCTTGTCTTAATCCCCTTTTCCCCTTAAAGAACCCTACTATAGTACCATTAAGACATAATGAGAATGATGGTGTAGTTATATGGGCTACAATCCATCTTACAACGGTTACAAGAAATCCAAATCCTATCAAGCATTCTTCTACAAAATCCCATTCCGCTGAGTCATAAGTTTTTTCTTAAGTCTATTTTTATTATTCATCTCTCACTTACATTTTGCCTACCATAAAGCCTAAGGAGGTCTTGTGTAATCTGTGTGTTTTGTAAAATAAGTCTATCTCAAATAAAAGCACTCTGATTACTAGTAATTATACCAGGAAAAACTTCACTAAGTCTATTACTGATGACTTTAATAATGCATTTATAAATGACATTACAGCAGGAAAATGGTCTAAACTGACTAGCATCTTTAGGGTTTTCAACTTTTGGCATTAAAACAATGATGGTAGCATTTAATTACTTCAAAATCTGACCAGTCTCAAAGAAATCATGCACAACTTTGGTGAGGTCCTCCCCTATTGTACTCCAAGTAGTCTTGAAGAAATTACTTCCAAACTCTTCAGGTCCTGGGCTCTTGTTCGAATGGATTCCCCATAAAGCTCCTTTAGATTCTTCTTTAGTGACTGGCCTGGTTAACCTCAACTGATCATGTCTAGAGACACTACTGCCTAGCTCAAAGATGGTCTAATCAGTTGTCACCCTCTCAGAGGACTGTCCCAACAGTGTCTGAAAAATTGAGTAAAATGCTCCTCGATTTTCTCACAATCATGTATCACCTCTGCATCTTCACTGGTAATGCTCCATATTTCTTCATCATTTTTTTCTTAATTTTCGCATGAAATGCTGTATTTGAGTCCTCTTCTTTGATCTAATCCTCTTTTTCCTTTTGCCTTATAAATAATTCATGTGCTCTGCTGACTGTAATCCATTCTCCATATGCTTCCCTCTCTGATCTTTGTAAGTTGATATCATCTGAATGATGAATCAGCTCATTTTTCAAAGCTTGCCGAGTCTTAAACTGAATATCAACCAATGCTCCTTTATTTAGCATTTTCAGTGGTTGTTTCAGCCTTCTGAGCTTTTGTGCTATTTGGAACATTCTTGATCTTCCAACAGGCACCTTCCATCTTTGTCTCACTACTTCTTGGAAACCAGAATCTAATTTCCACATGTTGAAATATCGAAACAGCTTTGGTTTGTTCATCATTGGTCATTACCATGATCAGACACCCTTTGACTCTCACCAACAGTGTAGTATGATCAGACACTCCTTCTTCCATTACCATTACAATAGATTCATTCTGCTGCGCAATCCAATCATCATTGGTCATTACTCTGTCTAGTTTAGCAAGTATTCTATCAGAGCCAATTTGTTTGTTGCACTATGTATACCTTGCCCCTACTTGGTGCATATCTTGCAAAGAACACTAATCCACACACATATGAAAATACTCCACACCACTTAACATCACTACTCTACCTCCCATTTTCTCCTCCTCGTTCAGTACATTGTTAAAGTCTCATGCTACTACCCAGGGTAACTGGATTGCTGCTTTACCTCAATTAAGCTATCCCATAGACTTCTTCTTACCTCCCCATTGTTAGAAGCATAGACACCAGTAAAGTTAAACTGATAATCTATTTCTTCCGATCTAACTAGCAAGTGGACCATCTGCTCATCCTTCTCGAAACTTGCAATTTAACCGAGACATCCCATAGAAGACTTATTTTTCCTTTATTTGTAGTGCCATAGCTAGTATACCACTTCATGCTACTCCACCATTTTTGACAAATTTCCTCATCTTTTTCCTAGCTTGTTTTAGTCTCTACTATGCATGCTAAAGCAACTTTATTTGCAGACAAGAGCCAAGGCAGCTGTTTCTGCTTTAAAGGTGCACTCAAGTCCCTTATGTTCTATAATATGAGATTACTCATTAATCCCTGAATTAGGGTCAAGTGCTTGTAATATCTCTTTCTCATTTATCACTACCTCTCCCTTCTGATTTCTTGATGTGCTTCCTTGATCAAACATATTGTTCCAAATCTGTTGTTTCCTAGCAATGTTCTCATTCATCCTCCCTATGACAACAGGACGATAGATCTTTTCCCCTCCATGACCTTGTTGCCTCTGTTAGACCTCCTGTCCCTTTTGCTTCAACTTCACCCCCTCATCCCTGATCATCTTTCCATTGTGATCTGCTAAATTCCTAATCTTCCTTTCCCCTTCCCTTTTAGTCTTCTGGTTCAGATGATTATTTCTGCACTGTTCTATTAAGTGGCCATAACCTTTACATCCTTGACACTGAATAGGACTCCATTCATAAACCACCTTCTGTTCCTATATATTACCATTCTCATCTTCAAAATAGATTACTTCTGGAACATGTTTCTATTTGTATTTCCATTTCCACCATAATCCTTGCATACTAGACTCTATCTCTTCTGACAGTAGCCCCATTAATCCTGATTGAAACCCCCAACGTGCAAGCCATTCTACTTAGAGTATCAGTATTCCAATAATTCAGTTCTAAACGTCTCAATTGTACCTACACAGGAACCCTACTAATCTTCCTATATGTAGTTAATTTCCTTCTCAACAGACCAATATTTAATCACTAGCGGTTTACTCCCCAAAGGATACAAATTAGAATTCAACACTTTATCACGAGCAGTAAGAGTAGTAAATCGCGCCAGTATTGAGCCTCAATTTCAACCTTGCTAGCTTGCACTTGGCAGACTTTCCTTCCTTCAATTTCCTGCGGTGGAATAAATTCTAGATTCGAACCACTTCTTCGCATCCGCCCTACATCAAATTTCTTCCATGGATTGTCCTCCTGTGCTTTCTCAGTTGCCGCCGCCCATGATTCCCGTCGGCAAGTGTTCTTCTCCATTGTCGTACTCTCCTTCCCCTCTCTGGGGTTTTGTTCTTGTTTAATTACTTCCAGATCTGCGGCCTTCAAAGGGAAATTTGCACTCTGTTCCATGTTTTCTTCTTCTTTTGTGATCACCTTTACTTTTTCTCCACTTCAACGACTTTCTTCTGAGCTTTCCTCACTGTTTTTGTCATGGTGTGGCGCAGGTTAGTAAGGTGCTAACATACACCGAGAGAACGCTTCAGGTAGAGAGAGAAAGTTAGTTTTGTGAATATTTAATATTATTATAGAGTTTAGATTCTATTTAATTCAATGTTTCAAAACATGTTCAATGTAAAACTGAGTTTTGAAACAGATGCATTAATTAGTTTTACCACCACATAACTGCCGATAGTGTCGTCGAATCCACGAGCCGATGGCTGACTTGCTTGATTCCCACGACTTGTCTGGGATATAAACCAATGTTGGTACGTTGACTTTGATGGAAAATATTAAGAAACTGTTCAATAAATATTTTTGAAAAAAATGATACTCTATCAGATCTCGCAATGATTGTTGAGTTTGAATTTTCTGTTGGAAATGAATAGTAAGTGAATGAGAATTAAATTTCTCAAGAGTTGGAAAAATTAGAGTTAAGTCTAAAGGACTTTGTCCCACAAGGGTGTTGGGAAGAGTTGGAGATCACTTTATAAGTGAGAGCCTAGAGTTGACTTGCAAGTTGACTTGCCAATATTATACCACATCTTTCCCGCTTGCGTGCGCCAGCGTAGGGGGGAGGGTGCAAATGGAGGTCCACTTCGGGGCCAAAATAGCTTGACTCATGTATGTGCCCGACCTGCGGACACGAATACCGAACCGAACTCTAGCGGGCCTAATCAACACACGATTTACTCCAGTTTAGATTAATTTTTTCCAGCTAAAATTTTAAAGTGGAGATTTATGTTCATTCATTTCAGTCAAAGAGAAAACTGAAACGTTATAATTAAATATTGATGTTGAATGACCAAATGAATGGCGGATTTAATACTGTTTAAATGACATAATGAATTCTTTTGACTGTTTGATTGTCAAAAACGTTTTGGCTGTTTATGTGCCATGAATTCGTGACATTTAACAGAATTAAAACACCAAAACCGTTTGAAGTTTTGCTGCCATTTCAAAGGTTTTTCCAGCCTATAAATAGGCACTCATTTTCCAATGTTCTACACACCAATCCTTCCTCCTCTTTCAGTATTCTTTCGAGCCTTTCTTTCTTTCTCTTTTTGTTTCGGTGTTTATCATCGTGTTCTAAGTTTCGTTCGCTGGTAGAACTTCTTTATGCTAAGTAGTCTCTACGTTTCTGTTGTATCATAGGAAATAGTTGCTCAAGATCCTCATGCACCATAGGAGGGGGCAAATCTGTTTTAAGGAGATCGTGTTTTCACGAGCCTCAGATTTCTTCTTCTTCTGTTTTTCCTTAGTCTTTGCGAATACTACCCATATTTCGACCAATAATCTTAAAACAGATTTCTTTTTATTTTGTGTATTCGTGATGGCTGATGTTTTTAGTATTGATGTTGCTGGTGCTGTTGTTGCTAGTGCCACTCCCGTTGCTGTTATGCCTGGCTTTGCCATTGCTACTGGGGTTGCGAGCTCTGTTGCTGTTCCCGCTGTGCCCAACGTTCCAGCTAGCCACGTGGCACTTTCAAGAGGTGGCAACAAAAGATGCTATTCTATCTGACGACGCTGAACTTGGCAAGCTTTCTGACTGATGTTGCTCCTCTGTTGCCTGAAGGTACTTCGGACGCACCAATGGTCCATGCATATGAGGCTTGGAAACGATCAGATTTCCTTTACCGTGGTTATATTTTGAATACTATTCTTGATTCATTATATAAAGTGTATGAGAAATTTAAGACGGCTAAGGATTTATGGGAATTCATGGACCGAAAACATAAATCGGAGGATGCCGGCTCGAAGAAATTCGTAGTCGGACGGTTCCTTGATTATGTGATGGTAGATTCCAAGACTGTTGATAGTCAAGTGCAAGAGATCAAGTTGATTCTGCACGACATCCAAGCTGAGGGGATGATCTTGAGGGAAACCTTCCAATTGGCTGCTGTCATTGAAAAGTTGCCTCCGGGTTGGAGGGATTTCAAGAACTACCTCAAGCACAAGCGCAAGGAGATGACCTTGGAGGATCTGATTGTTAGACTTCGCATTGAAGAAGACAACAGGAAGTCAGAATCAAAGGCATCCAATGGCGTACATGCTAAGGTCAATATTGTGGAGCATGGTAAAGGCCAAGGCTCGAAGAACAAGGCCACACAAAAGCAAGGGGAAGCTAGGAACTACTGGTGGTGTCTCTAAGCAGAAGCACAGATTCAAAGGTAATTGTTTTAACTGTGGCAAATCAGGTCATAGGTCTGCTAATTGCCGCTCCCCAAAGAAGGATCATGAGGTGAACATGGTCAACGACATCACTAAGGAGGACATGCACCTAGTTGCTGTGGTGACTCAAGTGAACATGGTGGAGTCCAACCCAAAGGAATGGTGGATGGACACTGGCACGTCCAGGCACGTGTGCATCCACAGGAGCCACTTCACCACCTTTGAACTAGTCCATGGAGAGAAGATCTACATGGAAAATGCTGATGTTGCCACTGTTGATGGCAAAGGAACTGTGAAGCTCAAGATGACTTCAGGCAAGACTCTAACACTCACAGATGTGCTGTATGTGCCTGAAGTGCACAAGAACCTTGTGTCAGGATTCATGCTAGACAAGAATGGGTTTCGCATCGTAATAGAGTCTAATAAGGTTGTTCGGTCTAAGGCAGGAATGTTTGTTTGGAAGGGGTATGCAACCGATGGATTGTTCAAACTCAATGTAATGACTATTGTCGATGAAATGAATGCAAGTACCTCTTATGCTTATTTGATTGAGTCTTTCAATTTATGGCATGGTAGTCTAGGTCATGTTAATGCTGATTTGATGCGTCGATTAATTAACTTGAACCATATACCAACATTCTAAATTGACTTAGGAAATAAATGCGAAATTTGCGTCGAAGCAAAGTTAACGAAGTCATCTTTTCAAACGGTTGAAAGGAGTACTGAACCACTTGAATTAGTTCACAGTGATGTTTGTGATTTGAAATCGGTTCAAACACGAGGTGGTAATAAGTATTTTATCAGGTTTATTGATGATAGCATGAAATATTGCTATGTTGTTAAAAAGTAAAGACGAAGCATTAGAGAAATTCGTTCTCTACAAAACCGAAGTTGAGAATCAACTTGGTAAAAAGATCAAGAGATTGAGAAGTGATAGAGGCGGCGAGTATGAAGCGCCAATTGGTGGCTTTTGTGCACAACATGGAATTGTTCATGAAGTGACAACACGTTATTCACCTCAATCTAATGGGGTTGTTAAACGAAAAAATCGCACATTGAAAGAAATGATGAATGCGATGTTGTGAAGTTCATGCCTACCTCCCAATATGTGGGGAGAAGCCATCTTGTCTAGTAATTACCTATTAAATAGGGTTCCCCGAAAGAAAGAAGACAAGACTCCATATGAATTATGGAAAGGAAAGAGACCATCCTACAAACACTTGCGAGTGTGGGGGTGTCTGGCAAAGGCAGTTGTACCTCCGCCAAAAGCAATAAAAATTGGACCTAAACTGGTAGATTGTATTTTTATTGGCTATGCACTGAATAGTAATGCATATCGGTTCTTAGTGCATGATTCGAAGATTTCGGATATACACAAGAACACAGTTTTGGAATAAAAAAATGCATCTTTCTTTCAAAATGTATTTCCTTACAAGACTAAGGATGAAAATAGTTCATCAAAACGAACTCATGAAGAAGTTCATGATTCGGTTGAGGTTCAAGATGTTGAACCAAGACGGAGCAAAAGGACAAGAGTAGAGAATCATTCGGTAATGATTTTGTAACCTATTTGCTAGAGAGAGAACCTCTAACTTCCGCTGAGGCAGTAAGTTCTTTGAGGAACCTTTATGGGAAGAACCCATAAAGAGTGAGGTTGATTCAATTTTACAAAACCATACTTGGGAGCTTGTTGATCTCCCACCTGGACAGAAATCGTTAGGATCTAAATGGATCTTTAAGAGAAAAATGAAACCTGATGGTTTCATTGGTAAATACAAGGCCGGGTTTGAAATCAAAGGGTATAAACAACGATAAGGTTTAGACTACTTTGATACGTATTCTCCTGTGACGAGAAGAAATTCCATAAGGATGATACTTTCTATCGCATCCTTAAGGAATTTGGAAATACATCAAATGGATGTTAAAACAGCTTTCTTAAATGGAGATTTAGATGAAGACCTCTATAAGGAACAACCCAAGGGTTTCCGAGCTCCAGGAACAGAAAAGAAAGTTTGTAAACTAGTAAAGTCCCTGTATGGTCTTAAAGCAAGCACCTAAAAAGTGGCATGAAAAATTTGACCATGCAATGATTACTAATGGATTCAAAATTAATGAGTGTGACAAATGCGTTTATGTCAAGCAGATAGAAAACGATTATGTCATATCATGTCTATATGTAGACGATATACTCATTGTTGGTACTAGTGACAAGTTGGTCAAATCTGCCAAAAACATGTTAAACTCTAAGTTTGACATGAAAGACATGGGTCTAACTGATGTGATTTTAGGTGTTAAAATCATAAGGACAACAGTTGGTCTTGTTTTGAGTCAAGCACATTACATAGATAAAATTCTTGATAAGTTTAACAAGAATGATTCTGGGGTCGCGAAAACACCATTAGATAACAGTGTCCATTTATCCAAGAATCGTGAATAGGCTATATCTCAGGTGGAATACTCTCGGATAATAGGAAGTCTGATGTATCTAATGAGTTGTACTAGACCAGATATTACTTATGTGGTAAGCAAGTTGAGTTCATACACGAGTAATTCCAGTGCTGAACACTGGACTGCTATAATTAGAGTACTAAGGTATCTAAAACATACTCGTGATTATGGAATGCATTATACCAGATATCCATCTGTGTTGGAAGGTTACACGGATGCCAATTGGATATCTTATATAAAGGATTCACACTGCACAAGTGGCTATGTGTTTACACTAGCTGGAGCAGCTGTGT